CCAGATAGGAGGCAACCCACAACTATTCATCTGCCTTTTCAAAAGACTTTTAACCTTCTCCTGAGGATGATAACCTCTTGATAGTTTGAATAAGACCTCTTGCTTGGCTTTGGAAACTTTGGCAATCTCCTCTTGCTAGGCACACCTCTCTCAATCCCCTGTACATGAAAAATGGTATGCAAATGCTAATGCTATATGAATGCAATGAAACATAAACCCAGTAAAGAAAAGGTTGGGCAAATTTTGGGGTGCAACAGTTGGATTACTCAAGACAGTCACTGGACTCTCCAAATGCTACGAAGGACTGGTAAAGGAGTTCATTGTAAACATACCTGATCTAATCACAAATAGGCACAACAAAGAGTACATGAAGGTGTTTGTCAGAGGAAAATGTGTGCAGTTCTCTCCTCCTGTGATCAACAGATGTCTAGGACGTGCAAATAGTGGTGAGAAAGAGTGGTCTATTTCAGACAACCAGGTTTGCAAGATCATCACTACAAATCAGGTAAAGACATGGCCATCCAAAGAGAAGCTATCTGCAGGATAACTCAGTGTAAAATATGTCATTCTTCATAGAATTGGAGCTGCTAATTGGGTGCTTACCAACCATACATCCACCATTGGAGTTGGGCTTGGCAAGGTCATTCATGATGTAGGCACCAAGGTTAACTTTGATTTTGGCCTGTACATTTTTGATCAGATTATTAAGTACTCTACAACCTGTGCTATCAAGCTGCCCATTGCTTTTCCCTCCCTTATTTGTGAGATTATTATGAATCAATACCCTGGGATTCTGAACTCTAGTGATGCTGCTAGCAAAAGAGAGTCTGCACTATCTCTGCACTTCAAACTCTTTACAGGGAGACATGTCCCTGACATTGTTTTGACTTCTGATGAGAAGTTCAATATCTCTAAAGCAATGATCATTGCTGAATTAAGAGAAACTTGTAGGGAATTGGGGGAAACTATCAAGACTGGCGCTGCAATAAAAATCAAGCTAGAATTCTTCATTCAAAGTCTTGAAAGAGATACTGTTAATATTGATAGTGAGAGTGTGCCAAGGGAAAAATCTGAAGATAAAACTGAAGGTGTCAGTGATGACAGTGACTCCAGCTCCTCTGAGGAGGAAGATTAGTGTGTTGGTGCTACTGGTTTGCTTGGACTGTGCTGCTGGTGCTGGTGTGACTAGTGATTTGTTTTAGTTTTGCCTTTATTTGTATTGCTCATCATGAGCTTTATGTTGTAATGACCCCAACATCTGCACTTCCATATTTTTTGATATATACTCTTTAGTTAGTTTTGATCCTAATTTGTGGCTAAAAAGGGGGATAAGTGGTAGTAACAACAAGGCTAGATGTGTATGAGGTAGTAACAGCAGGGCTAGATATGTATGTGTGTATCTCACAGGTGGAAGACTTGCTTGTTGTTGTTGCTGTGCAGGTTTGCATGAGGTGATGATATGTTGTTGATGTGTGAGTTCCTAATGTATGGAATGTATGTGAGTTTTGGCAGAAGCTGCATAAGATGTATGTGTGTTCCTTGATGGAACCTAGTAGTAGGATAGCTGCTAGTTTTGTGTGTATCTACAGGGTGTTTGCAGAATGTGTGTGGCTGCGCATCTTTTCAGGGGGAGTAGCACAGGATAGTCCATAGAAAGGCGTGACAACTGTAGTCTAGGCTAACAGGTGAGAGTGTTATGTTGTGGAATTGATGTGATTCAGGATGTCATCCTGAATGTCTTGACAACCAGAAAAGCCTGGATAATTTGTGTGTGACTGCAGGTTGTGCAGGCTGTGTTCAGCTAATGTAGTATGCATAAGTTGATGGGGAGTAACCCAGAATGTTACTCAAAACATTGTGACATCTGTAGTGCTGACAAACAGATTATTATGTATGAACAGGTTGATCCTGTGTAGTTGAGAGCTAATTGTATGAGTGTAGAAAACTCTGATAGTATGTTAGTAGTTTTCCTGCATGATAGGTTATATGGTATGATTTCTGCTGCTAGTAATCTCTGAGATGACAACAGAGTGTTTTAGCCAAAATTTTGCCAAATGGGGAGTTTGTAGATGTTTTTGATTGACTGCATTTTGTGGAAAAACATTGTTGTAGGTATGAATGCCATGACTGATGTTATGACATACATAAGGATTGTTCTGCATGTTAAAGTTTGAATAGCTAAAGAGCAAGTACGATGGATGTCATGCTGGATGTTATGACATCAAGCGTATGACATCAGGTCGCGAAGTTTTAGTTTTTCTGTTATTAGCTCAGGCTATACTTCAGGAAATATTTTAGGAAACCTAGTTATCTTAGGCGACATATCAGACACTGCTAAGGATAACATGGACTGCCCTTGACTCAATTGGACGTGCGCAGCTTCTTGAAGAGGGGTTTACTTGGGTAAACCTAACTTGTGCACGAAAGCCCAAAGTCAATCAGCTGCTATAAATAACAGAAGATCAATCCTAATCAGGTAGAGATTGGAGAGTGTAGTTTGTGAGTGAAGAAGTCTGATTGTATCAGTTGTTCTTCACGTGTGTATTATGTCTTAGGATACTTGTATGCCAAACAATTGTCTGCTGCATGATTGCTTTGGTTTAGTGTGTGTGAACTGTTTGTTCAGTGTTTCACTATAAGCTTTTAAGTAAGAGTTGTGTGTCACTTGATCAAAGCTGTGAATCAAGATCAAGGTGTGTTTGAAGTGTGTCTTCAATTTCTCTTTTGTAACCTTGAATTGGTTGATATCACTGTTGTGATTGAGGGGGAGTGACTGGGTAACTCTGGTCTAGTATTAGGCTGAAGTGTCATTGGATAGGTCTTAAGTGAAGAGTGCAAACTGGTTGTTTGACTCTGAATTAATTCTACTAATAGTGAATTTCCTCCCTGGCTTGGTAGCCCCCAGATGTAGGTGTGGTTGACACTGAACTGGGTAAACAATTACTTGTGTTATTTACGGCTTTCCATTTACAGCTTGTAATTAAGTTCAGTAGTCTGTGTTATAGTGGATGTCATAACATCCGTGATAACATCCATTGTTGGTTCCTAGAATTTCACCCTGAAATCCAAGTTATTCTTGGAAACTTAATGAGCACAAAGCCATATTTTGCAATTGGACAACTTTGAACTCAAAATAATGTTTTGTCCTGAAAATATAATAACGCACTTCATTATAATTCGGATTCCTCATGGTTCACCTTGGCTTTTCCTTTTTGAAAGGAACTTGGATATTGGAATGGTAAATGACTTTCATGCTTGAACCATAATAAAACAAGATCAACGCTCGAAATCACGGTATCTACACACACTTGTTAATTATGATAAGCACACATACAAAGACCATATGACCTAAAGATGTTATGCGAGATGATGCACAAAGAGGTGGGATCTTAGGTTCAAAAATTAGTGTGTGACAGAGAGGAAGACAAAGTCGATGCAACTTTGTTCAAACAGATTGTCGGATCTCTAAGATATGTGTGCAACAGTCGACCTGATATATGTTTTTCAGTCGGATTAGTGAGCAGATACATGAGTGAAGCAAGGGTGTCACACATGAAAGCTGCAAGAAGAATCTTGAGATAGTTAAAAGGATCGACAAACTATGGAATTTTTTTTCGACGTGACTCTGAAAGTAAATAAGCTATGGTTACTTGTTATTCAGATGCTGACTGGTGCGGAGATAAGGAAGATCGAAGAAGCATTACTGGATATTTCTTTCAAGTATTTGGTGCCCCAATTTCATGGTGCTTGAGAAAGTAACCTGTGGTGGCATTATCATCATCTGAAGTGGAATATATAGAAGGATCATATGCTGCATGTCAAGCAATTTGGATCAGATCGGTACTTGAAGAAATAGAGGTCGAAGTGAAGAAAACTCTTGTGTTGTAAATAGACAACAAGTCTGCCATAAATCTGGCGAAAAATCCAATTATGCATGGAAGAAGTAAGCATATCGAAGGTAGATTACACTTCTTAAGGGAAAAGGTAAATTGAGGTGAACTTGAAGTTAGGCACTGCTCAAGTGAAGCACAGTTGGCCGACATTTTCATCAAAAGACTGAAGATCGACAAGTTCTTAAATTTGAGAAAGAAATTAGGAATAGTTCAGATCGACTATGATTAACATAGGTTCGACAACTTGGATTAGGAGAGGTATGTTGAAATATTAGATTTGATTAGATTTAATATTTAACTATAATCCAAGTTGTATTAGCTCAAGTCCAATTAGGGTTGTATATAAATAGTCATAGTATGTATCATTATTCGAAACAATTCATTCAATAAATTTTTATTTCCTTATTCTCTCTCTTTCTCTCCTCACTAAAAGTGTCTCACGCATAAACAATTATGTGATCTTTCAAAATTCTGAATGTTTAGAAGAGAGAGTAATCATAATCTTGTGGATTTGTTCCTGAGACTCCACCAAATCGTTCTTGTCCTCGACTTCACTTACAAGTCAATTGAACCAACAAGTCATAAAGCCAATATGTCAAAGTTTTTGGCTTAAACTTTAGACACTTAGTAATGTCAACGTAATTATTATGACCATAAATTCGTTGATTTTTTCACTCAGTTAAAAATCTCAGACTAAAAGCGGCAACAACGTTATTTTAAACCTTGATACGACATGAAGAGCCTAAATCATGAAGTTGCTTTTAGTTTACAATCATTCTCAGATTGCATATTTTTCCACCAAAAATATCATGTTTCAATTATTTTATTTTCAAGCAGGGTTTGCTTGACCTATATAAACCTTCTGCTTGTGGAGGCATATTAGAAGATAAAGCTTTGTTAGCTTTGTTAACCCTAATAAACAATAGGTAGCAAAAAGTACGATATAATTAATGATACAAGATGTTTAATTTAATGGATCAAACTTGGCCATCATTGATTCTTACGAAGGAAGATCAAGTTTGCTCCATTAAACATGGATACACTTCGATTTGTTTTTAAACTCATAACTTCCATTTGTAGGATTATTTGATATTATTCTATCAATAATCAAGTTGGTCCCCCAAAGTTCGGGCGTTGTTGCCACACCTCACTGCTGCCATCACCTGCTATGTATGACATGCATGACAATGGCACCAGACAGAGGCCTCGACTTCTCAGATATTGCTTTGGTTCTCCATTTGTGTCACCTATGGCCAAATCCTGATATTATCAATATGAAGCATTAGTATTCAAGATTAGGGAAACATAAATTTTCTTCAGTAAGACCATGAGATGCACACGTTGACACTCACAAAAATTTGAAGTAATGTATTAATTGAATATAATTATATGTGTTAGTATCGCGCTAGAAACTGGACACACATTCCATTAGAAGCATCGATACTACAAAGATAAGAGTTAAATCCTTACCCCTTGCATCAATCTGTTGTTTTGGTTTTGCGATGACTTCATATAGGGAACACTCAGTGTCTGCATAGGTAATAGTATCAGAGTCGTCTCAAGTTTTTAGAGATCAGATGTAAATTAATCGCAGTTTAATCATGGCAAAACAAATAGATACCTATTTAATCACAATTTATGGTAACAATGTTTTATGAGATTCTATTTAGTCACGCCGTGATGTTCGGAGAAATTCCTTAGAAAATACTATGAGCATGTGGAAAATATATACCTCTACTTGGCCTTGAAGGAATTTAATGTATCCGATAGCTTCCATGAGTACAGATGCAGTGTCAGTCTGCAACATCCAATTCAACATATACTTACTCCTTTCATTCCAATTATATAAATTTCAAAGTTATGTTATGTCATACAAATTGAAGAATTGTTTCCTCAGTATTTTACCTTTCCAAAAGGAGCCACTAACTGCTGAAGAGCCGCAATTCTATCTCCTAATTTTTCTTTCCTAACCTGAAGCATAGAACATTTATTAATGCAACTCAAGTAATTACTAATTAGTACTCTAATTATAATTTTTTATCTTCCATAAGAAGTAAGGCACCTTAAAGGGTGCACACGAAGGCGGTCGTGATTCTGATGAAGATCGTGATTTCTTCAACGCGGTTTCAGATTGAGAAGCCTTCGATTGCATCACTCTCTTTGTTTCTCCGCCACCATTGCCGAGTAGCGACGGCTTCTTTAGTATTGCAACAAAGAAAAGAGTAAAGATTATTAGTCCAATATAATTCAAGTGGCCCAGTCTTCTTCAAAAAAGAAACCAAAAGAAAAGGAAAAAGATGATAATATTCTGATTAAAGATATGTGCATCATGTCAAAAAGAGAAAATGTTTTGCCACAAGTTAATTAGTAAAAAAAAATCATGGCAAAGAGTAACTTTTTTTCATCAAAAAGATAACTTATCTGCTAGCTCTAGTCAGTCAACTTCATTATAATTAGTAGTATATTCCTATAAAATCATTCTTAATTTTCTCTTATATAGTTTTGAAAAATAAGTAATAATATAAATTTTTTTTTGAATATCTTACATGCACGTATGGCATAGAGAAAAAAGCTTTTAAAAAGTCGAAAAGAAGAAATGAATTCGAAATACTAACATTAATGGAGTTACTAGAAGAGGATCTGTTTGCGAGTTGGTTCTGCATAGGATGAAGATGAAACGAAAGGTTTTCATGATCATTAGTAGTGAATCTACCAAGATGATGATCTTGTGAACTACTTAATAGATCTAATGACTGCATGTTCATATCCAAGGTTGACGTCGTAGACGAGGACGAGTAATGATTCAAGTTCGAGATATTTATACTAGGGTGAATCTGAGTCTGATTACCAATGTTAGGATAATTTTGATTACTATAAAAGTCTCCACCAGTGTAAAGATTCTTGAGCATGAGAGCATTCATATCCTTGTGTTCATCATTAGTACTATTCTTCATTTGTATTGTAGTGGAAGAATCTTCAAGTATTCCATAGTTCTCCATGTTTAAATTAGGAGGAGTGTAATTAAGCATTTCAGTAAATTTAGGGAAATTCGCAAACGAAATCTCTTCCTTAACATCATCATTTGTCCATTGATGGTGATGATAACCTAAATCTTGAATCGTAGTGCTCGATCTCGAATATCTCGGATCAACTTCTTGGAGATTTGAGTTGAAGTTACCTGCAGCATTATTCCTACATAAACACATTATAAATAGAGTTAAAAAAAAAAACCCTAGTCTACAAATTAAACCCTAGAAAAAATGAAAACTGAGAAGGACTTACAAAGTGATGTTTGTTGGGGTCCAAGAGTGAATGGTGGTGGTTCCTCCAACAGCATAAGAACATGGGATAGGAGAAGATAAAGAAGAAACAGGAAGATGAGGTTGTTGGTCTTGGAGATGATGGAAATTTGTAGACTCCATAATCATAAATTTATAATTATACTTGTTTTATCTAACTTAATAAAGGGAAAGAAAGGTATGATTTTCAATCCCAAGATGATGAGTAACAATAAGGATGGTTTAGAAAATGGAATCTCTCTACTGTAATGAAAGGAACACAGTTCCAGGTGACACCCACATACCTCGGTTGTTTGCCCCCACTTTTTTCTTGGGTTTCATCTTTACTCTTTCTTCATCTTTAAAGTATCCTTGAAAAGGAAGTAAGAGAATGATGAGTATTATTTCATATATATTTCAATCTATATACCCATACTATATACCTTTCTCTCTCTCAAACACACTTTTAATTATTTTATTTCCTTTCAGGCCTACTTCACTTTTTTCACTCCTTTTTCTCTCTTGCAGCTTTGAGTCTATAAATAAATATATATGCATAAAGAATTATATAATTTTGTCCTTTATTGAGTCAACTTTTTTTCTTTCTTTTTCAATTTACTGCTTGATTATTATTATTATTATTACCATTATTATTATTATTATTATCATTCTCTCAGCTATGTGCCGTTTGTGTTGTGATCAGGAAATTACAGGAAAACGATTAGAGTCTCCCTATGATATGATTAAAAATATGATATTGTATGTCCCTTAGATCCCAAGGCTTCAACAAAGTTCTGATATTTGAAATCATAGCAGCCACGCTTGAGTTCTTTCTTTATTTACACCCCACATGTTTAGAGCAAAGAAAGCATACTTTACTATTGTCCCATTACATATATATGTGGTTCTTGGTAAGTTTGTATTGTCCCTTGTTCTGTGTTGCCGACTTAACATGGTGAGTTTGTCTTGTCTCTTGTGATGGGTCATCATGGGAAACATAAATATATTGGATTAAACATCCATTTAAAAGTTAAAGATTCACTTAAACAAGCGAGAGATATTATATATTTATCTAAAATTTTAAAGTGATAGGTGTATGAGTTCTGTCACTTATAAAATATTCAACTTCTACTATTCTAAACAATGTGAGATTTAAAACTCATTTGTTTCTCGACACAACTCACACATGTTTCTCAATATCTTATTCTGCATTATCCACTTAACAGTATAAATTTAAAATTAATTAAAATTATGTATAAATGATATGATGTTTTAGACTTAACCGAATCCAACAAGAGAATGAGTCTCCAACTAAGGGAAAGTGTTGTAATATGTCTTATTAACTTAGATGATGAAGAGAAGGAAAATATATATCGAGATTGTAAAAACATTTATGAGGTCGACAAAAGACGTTTGAACAGTAAGTAAGGGGTTCGATGGAGGTGGTTGACGACGGCGGAAAGCATTTTGATCAGTCTGAGCATTTTTATTTGGATATTTTTTACTTCAAAATTTGATCAAAATTTGTTTGTTTTTCAGAAGTTTATTTCGCACGGATTATTTTAGTGCATTCATTTTAATTTTTCGAACATTTTTGCGTCCGATTTTAATTCATTTTGAGTCATTCTTTTTTGCTTTTTTTTTCAAAATATTCAAAATAATTAAATAAAATTATGTTTTTGTTTCGATTTCATTTTAGTTATTTAAACTAGTTTAAATTATATTTGGAAGAGAACATGTGGCGGACAGGCGGAGTTGTTTCTGTTTTCTCATTTCTTCAAACAACAATGTGTGTGTGTGTGTACGCGTGCGTGCGTGCGTGAGAGAGAGAGAGAGAGAGAGAGAGAGAGAGGCAGTTGAGGACTTTTTCTCATTTTTTCCTTTCCACCACACATCACCTTATGCTCACACATATCCATCTACATGGCTCTCACTTTCTCTCCCTCACGGATCTCTTCTCATTTGATTAAGTTTAGTTTTGTTTCCCTTTGATCATATATTGTTTTCTATTTCGGTTATGCTTATATTTTCTTGTTTTCGATTCAGACTCGTTGTATTGTTGTTGTATTTTCTTGTTTTGTTTTGTAAATAATGTAAATATATGTTTGCATTTGATGCTGCTATTTGGTTTATTATTGTGTTGCAACTTCAGAGTTTAAATCCAATTTAACTTTTAAAGATCGTTTGAATGCATAGATTCAGTTGCTCAGTTTGTTATTGAGTGATTCATACATGAATCCACCTTAAGTTGGTTTAGAGGTAAATTCAATACTTTAAGTTTCGGTTTATTTTTTCATTGTAAATATTGTATATAGTTTATCGAGTTGCTGGATTTCTCATTGCATTGCAAATTCAACTTTGTAATATCATTTTTGCTTGGCTTTTTCTTGAGTGATTCCTACATGAATCAACTTTAAGTTAGCTTAGAATTAAATTCAGTACTCTAGATTTCGGTTTGTTGTGAATTGATGTCATCAAGAACAAACCAAAATATCAGAAAAAGATTGAGTTTCTTGAACAAACATAAGAAACCCTATTAGGTTTTATAAAAGATAGAAAAGAACGAAGAAGAAGAATAAGAATTTGTGGTTAAATCTGTTTTATTATTCACTTACTCAATAAGAATTCAAAGGTTATAAGTGAATACCAATAATTAATCTCTCTCAACAATTTGAGTGAATTAGTCTATTTATAGACTACTAAGCTAACTTAAGCTACAAGTTAACTTAACAATTGGACTTACAAGCAAGCCCTAATTTGAAATGCTTTAAAACAAAAAATATTTTGACATCATGCTTGAACAGACTTCGACTATAGCATGCATAACTCCTTTTGAACCATGAAGTTACTCTTGTCGACACCAGAGTTCGATCCAAATACCACAAATCTCTACCTTGGAACAAACTCTACACTAACAATGGAACATTTCAAAGCTACAAGGAGGATTCCACCACTATATTATTCATTGAGTATCCGGAACATTTCAAAGCTAAAAACTTGTACTTGTTGCTCGAAGACTTTGGGATAGTTGAGGAACTTGTCATTCCGCCCAGAAAGGACAAGAGAGGAAGAAAATATGGTTTTGTTCGTTTCCTTGAGGTTACATATGTGAGAAGTTTGTTCCTGAAGTTGGATAAACTGTTGATTGAAGGGAAAAAGTTATTTTCTAATCTTCCTATATTTCAGCGGACAAAGTCAAGGTGAAAGGTGAACGAGGTAGAGGCAACGAAGTTGGTAGAGAGTTTGAGAAGAAGTTTGACGGTTCTTTTAGTCCTTTTAAAACTCCTGGGTTTCGGGATGGAGGAAGGTCATAAGCAGAAGCGACTCGAGTTTCTCCTTTTAAGCAGGAAAAGCCTTGTGTCTCGGGAAAAATTCCATCTCAACTAGTCTTTAACATGGGGAAGGAAGAGCTGTTGAGGTTTGAGAAGGCCTATGTAGGCAAAGTATGGAACCCGGGAACATCATATAACATGCAAAGCACCTTTCATTCTGAAGGTTATTTCGGTCTAAAGGTGACTATGTTTGGAGTTAACATGTACCTTCTGGAAGAAGCTGACGAGAGTGAATTAAAGGCTCTTGCGGGTGGAGCGAAAGGTTGACTATCTCAGTGGTTTTTATAGACCAGGAGAGACTCACTTGACAGTTCCTTTTTTTGAATTCATTTCATCCAAGGTTGGGAAACACGTGTATTATGAAGGTTGTTCCTCCGACTTTTCGAAGATGGATGTAGTAAGCATTATGGTGAGGACCTCTTGTAGTATGTTAATCAATGAGTTTTTAGTGTTAAGATTAACGACCACTCTTTCAAAATAAAACTTGTTGAAGAATCTCTTGGTCCGTCTACAAGAGTGGTGAAGAAAGATGTCTCTTCTCTTTGTTCGGACTCAAAATCTTTGTTTTCCTCTGATTGCTCTTCTTGAGCGGAGGCAAAGAGGAACTCTTTTGGAGAAGAGGAAGATAAAGTATGGGATTCTCAAGATATCAGAGGTGATGGGCTTAATTAGCCAGCATCTAAGGAAAAGGTTGGCATTGTCCTTGTCGATTCTAACAAGGATAGAGTTGTTTTTGACTAGGTTAAGCTTAAAATTGGTATATATGTTGATGTCTTAGGTTGAAAGTCCAAGGTTATAGAGGTCAGCGAGGGTACTTTTGATCCTAGGATCACAACAGCAGAATCCAAGTCAAAGTTAGTGGAGGGGCCCACTATGGGTTTGGATCCATATGTTGTTGTTTCGAATCACTGTGAGGCTTCGGTGGGCTGCTTTGACAATTTGGTTAAAGCCCAAGTTCGTAAGGCCTACAAAGTCAAATCGAAAGTGGGTTGCTTGCCCAGAAGTAGCGTTGATACTCGTAGGAGACTTGAAGGCACTATCATTCTTTCCTCTTCTGGGGTGATTGGAACTTTTGACTCAGTTTCGGAAGGATATGTTCCCTCTTCTTCCTCAGTTTGTTTGGTCCCTTTTCATGGGCCAAAAATTCACCCCTCTTTGAAGCCCTTAGACCTTATAGATCCTTTGCTCTCTTCCAGCAGTGGTGGGACTGTTGTTCGCCTTCTCTTTCCTCGATGGACGTTTCAAAGGCTCCTAATTCAGGTGATTCAGATCACAGGTGTCTCTCAGTGACTGATTCTAAAGTCCATCAAGGGAACAAGAGGTTCTGGGCCTAAATGGATTCCGGGCATAAAGTGTGTATACTCAAAATTTAAAGGTCTTATATTTATAAAGTATGATAGTCTAGATTTTTTAGGTATTATTTAATGTTGTGAAATGATGCCGTCAATAACAGAACAAAATTATGAGATAAACATTTGAGTTTCTTGAACAAACACAAGAAATCCTTTTAGGTTTCACAGAGGAAAAGAGAAGAAGGAAGAAGAATGGAGAATTGGTTAAATTTGTTTTACTATGCACTTTCTCAATAAGGATTCAAAGAATACAAGTGAATACCAACAATTAACCTCCTTTCAACAACTTGAGAGAAATAGTCTATTTATATACTAATAGGCTAACTTAGATTACAAGCTAACTTAACAGTTGGACTTACAAGCAAGGTCCAATTCGACATACTAACAATTCTAGCATTTCAACTACTACTTGCTTGAAGATACCTCGACTACAGCATACAAGATCAGTATGTGAACAGAC